TGCTGTGTGGTCAGCTGCCCACTGCACGGGAGGACTGATACGTGATATCTCTGATAACATTCCCCAAAGATCCATTTTTTCTCCAAGGTGATTTTCTTAGAAATTTAGTACTGAATAACATAGGTTCTTTATTGTATTAAGTAAAGAGGAGGAAAAAAAGGACACTCTATTTTCAAATATATGGCTGTACTAAAAAAGGTCTTAATAATTTTCTCATGTGGTATCCAGGAAGAAATATTCTGGCAAAATTGTTTGGTAAGTAATAAGTATGGGATACACCCAGAGGTAATTTTAGTGTGATTAATCCTCTGTTTTAATTTCTTCATCATGTTGATGATTGGCAGCAAATTACTTTATGGACAAATGAGGTTACAAACGTGTGCATATTTTCCCACATCTAAAAGTTCTGGGTTGAAGCCGGGCGTGGTGGCACACGCCTGTAATCCCAGCACTCGGGAGGCTGAGGCAGGAGGATTGTTGTGAGTTCGAGACCAGCCTGGGCTACAAAGTGAGCTCAAGGCCAGCCTGCACTGCACAGCAAGACCCTGTCTCAAAAAAAAAAAAAAAGTTCCAGGTTGAGCTTTTGTTTTGTTCTGCACATTGTTTATATCTAGTAGTATATTATCATTATTGATTTATTTCTGAACTGTGCCACAAGCAACATTTATTTCTTATGCACACACACACACACACACACACACACACACACCCAGCCCAGCCCGTATCTCCCCCACATTTCTCTCAAAAATCTTGAGTCCTGCGATATAAACATTTTAAACAATCTAATTAAGAGAGAGTGGTGGCACAGGAACATAATTCTTAGAGGAATAAAATCCCCAAGGATATGAGCTTGGAAGTGAAATATTGTGTAAAGATTGCCATGTACTTAAAAATGTTAAGACACAATCAAGACCTTAGTATGAGAGGTATGATGACAGACAGTTCGGTGGTGAAAATCAGCGCCTTCTGGGAGCCTGCGAGGGGCAGAACGTCTGCCTCAGCCCAGGCCTACTGAGTCAGAACTTGGAGTTGAATGAAAATCACAGGTAATTCATAGGCACATAAAAGTTTGAGGATTATAGTAATATGACACTAGTATTTTACAGATGGATTTCAGTTACATAAAAGAGGAAAAGGTTCCTCTTCTACTGCAAACATGAAAATGTCACTTTTGATGACTCCCCCAAATTAGATTATGCTTATCTTGTGTCTTCTTCCTTAAAATGAACATCAGTTTTTCTAAACTAATAAAACTATAACAAGGTTTTATTAGTAAAACCTTTGTTGACTTTCACACTGAAGTCAGGTTGAAGGCTAAAACAAATTAGGTTTTAGTCACATTGGATTTGGTTGAAAAAGAAAATAATAATAGAAGTTGAGAAAACAGTAACAGTTCAGTTCTCCCTGCAGAGGATCACACAGCATCTACCTGCTTCCTCTGTCTGCAGCTTTCCGGAAGGTGGAGGTGCTCATACTAGGTGTGTCCCCAGCATAGGGCCCGTTTTAAAGGAATGAATAAGTAAACAATGATTTTAGCTTATTCCTTTATTTAGAAATCAAAGCATTCTGTTCCTAAATAACCTTGGTATTACTACAGATGTTTTCTGTCATTTACCCACTACTAACCCAAAAGTAACATACATAACAGTACAGCAACAATGTCATGAAACTACAAAGCAGCATCTTCAGGCTGTAATTATCGAGGGCCTATGCCTTGTAGGTTATAATCACTCATTTAATCTGATCTCACTGAAAAGATATGCAGACCCTTCTCATTCACCAGAGTAAAACATAGATTTTTTTCAATGAATAAACAATTGAACATTTCCGGTAAAAAAAAAAAAAAAAGGTTTTATTAAACAAAATTTGAAGCTAGGTTTAAAAAAAAAAAAAAAAAAAATCAGTCATCTGCTTCTTTGGAGAGCTTGATTGCCCTCTAGTGGGATGAAAAGTTAATGCAGACTCCAAGATTTTCTGAGGGAGAGAAGCCGGGAAGAGGCCCGCCGCGGTTCTGGAAACATCTGGGTCACTTGCTAACGCAGGGTTTTTTCCTGGTCTGGCAAATTTCTTACATTTTTCATAAAAGCCCACAGGTTTGTGTTTTTCGACAAACAAAAAGGAAGAAATCTGGTGTGAGCCGGGTTTAGCTATCCGTAGTGTGTGGGTGACCACACCCAAGCCCAGGTCTGCGCCGTTCGCTCCCACCTGCTCCTACACCGGCTTCCCCAGCCTCTGAGGAATCAGTCGCTACTCAGGTACAGCTTGCGGCCCTCTTACTTGGCGTAAAAAGCAATGATGACAGATAAATCGGAATTATTCCTAAAATGTCCTGGATTACCAGTGACAGAATCTTCAATATGTAACTAAGTCGTCCTTATTTTATTTTTAGTTATTTAGGTTTTACTTTAAAATTCTTCTTGGTAGCTACTATGACACAATTACAGAATTAAGTAACTATTTCTGTCCTACATTATAGGAGGAAAACTCTTCCATTGGATGAATCAGCTTTCTGGCACTCTGAGAGGACATTTCCTGAATCTAAATAAAATGTAGCGTCTTGCAGCGTCTTTGTCATGCAGACTGAGTGACCTGCCGGAAGTCACACTGTGCCAAATGATCAAATACCTATTTTACAGCCTACCCATGAGCCTCGGAAAGATTAAAAACCAAAAATAATCAAAACTCTTTAATGCAACCCCTAAAATCTTGCTAAAAATTTTAGTGACTACAGGCAGAGACAATTGTTCTAACAATAAAAGTACCTCTTTTCCCTTTAGAATAAATTACTACAAATCTATACATCGTATTGCAAAACCATTGTGAATTTTGACGAAACAAAGTTCTAGATTTTAACATCACAAATCATCCAGCCTAGTATCATTTAAAATATGCTTTTAGATAATTTTCACATGGACAAACAGCAGCAGATTAATTTATACCACCGTCCTAGTTTATCAGCAACGTGCTACACTGGTTCACATACGTTTATCGCAGGCTCAGCTTGCTCATCTGCTATGAACTAGATATGTTATTAACTGATAAGCTACTTTTATTTCTCTTTCTGTTTTAGCCTGAAATCCCGATCAGATATTCAGCTTTGCACCTCTCGTTATTTTGTATATCCATTTATAAGGTGCCTGCTTCATTAGAAAAGATAACGTGTAATACTGTAAGTACTTTGTACAGTTATGCCGACAACAAACATTGTTTAATGAATCAGGAAAAAGTACCCGCCCTAGTGATTAGCTGATTAGCTTCAGAACTGGGATGACTTTGAAATCTATTATTTCGCTATTGCTACCGCAAAGGTGGTTCTTTTCATGATTTGCAAGTGCAGCTTAGTCATGGCGGAAAGGATCCTCGCCTTTACCGTTCTGGGTGGGACTTTTATTTGACAGCAGCTACCATCCAGCGATCCTCGTTTGTGTGTGGAGTCGAGGCAGTTACCAAGGACTAGCAGCTGGAACAGTTGCGGTGGAAAACGGTTCAGATTTTGTGCATGACCTACACTTGCATCTGCATGGACGCGACCCTTGCAGAAACCCCGGCCTCAGCCTCCCACGTACGATGTGCACCCACTGCGGCCACAAGCCCTTCTCCGAGCTCTCCAGGGGCGCTGGCCCGGCCCTGCCCGGGGGAAGCGTGTGGCGGGGTTCCACGCAGGAGCGCGCGCTCCGGAAGGAAGGCGGACGAGACGCGCTCTGTAATGGAAATGACCGCGGGGCCGAGCCCGGGCGGGGCGCCAGGCGAGGGGACACACGCGGTGGGGCCGGGCGGCGGACGACGAGC